CCTAGTATGCCCGGTGTGCCCATTGTGCTTTAGTATTCCCAGTGTGTCTTAGTATGCCTAGTGTGCCATAGTATGCCCTGTATGCCTAATATAACCTGTGTGCCCGATGTGCCCGGTGTCCCTGATGGGCCCGGTGTGCCTGATGGGCCCGGTGTGCCTGATGTGACCGATGGGCCCGATGTGCCCGGTGTGCCTGATGTGCCCGATGTGCCCGGTGGGCTTGATGGGCCCGATGGGCCTGCTGGGCCCGATGTGCCAAAAAGTCAGTACCAAAATTCATTTTATTAATATAATTTTTGATTGAATCAACGAATATTTTTCAAAAACCAATGGTACTAATAAGGGATTATTCATACGGATTAGATAAATAAAATGGGATGCTTAACAATTTATTTATTATGTTTATAGCGCATGGTACAACATTGGAAATATAATTAAATTCTATATACTATATAATATTATAGATACCTCCCTTATTTTTTACAAAAAAATGTAATCTCCGGGCTATGCTATGCCAATTAATTAAGGTTGTAGATTAAAATGTAATATTAATTATAAAATTATTTTGTGTTTACAGTTTAAAAATAGATTAGTTTAAAAAATAGATTTTACTTAATCAAAAAATTTATTTGTAAATTATTTTATTGTGTGTTACTTATTATGTTTAAATAATAAAATTATTTATTCTGCATAATCATTAGAAAATTATTATCCAACTTAATAATTGTAAATACAGGGTAGCCTTTAATTAGCAATGCCACTTTAATTTTAATTTATTTTAATACCGTTCAGTTTATTTATTTAAAATATACATTACATGGACATGTAATATATCAAATAAAACCCTAACTATCCAGGAGTATTTCATTGTATATTTTACACAAATAAACTACGGGGTATTAAAATAAATTAAAATTAAAGTGGCATTGCTAATTAAAGGCTACCCTGTAGTATTCGTAGGATACTATAAAATAAAAAAATAAAAATAATTTTGTTCATCAAGCTAAACTAATTTATAATTATTGCGCGTTTTTGTTTCCGTCCAATTAATTAAGGTTGTAGATTAAAAGCATAATATTAAATATAAAATTATTTTGTATTTACAGTTTAAAAATAGATTTTATTTAATCAAACATTTATTTGTAGATTATCTTTTTGTATAACTTATTATATTATGTTTAAATAATAAGTTTGTTTATGCTGTATAATCATTAGAAAATTATTATTCAACGTAATAATCAATACCCGTATGATATTATAAAATATAAATATAGAAATAATTCTGTTCATCAAAATAAATTAAAATTACCTCACAAATTAATTTATAAATATTAGTTTACATTTAAAATTATTTAATTTCAAGTTTCAAATCCTTTTGCCCGTATTTATCATTATTTTCATCAAACAATTCGCGCAAACATTGGATATATTTTCGGTGATATTCTGCGATCTGTTCGCGCGATGGCTCCGGTATTAGCGGCACATCCATGGGTTTACCCACTGTTTACAAAACATTTCAATATAATTAATATAAATCAGAAAATCAACTAAAATTTCAAACCCAATTTTAACCCCCAAGTCATACCGACTGTAGTGATGGGCACTCTATAGGGCAATATCCCCGGGAATCCAAACAACCCCCGGCCTATCGGTACGTGAAATAAATGTTTATTATTTTTATAAATAGATATTATTATATTTTATAAGTACCGTAAAAGTGTGGAATCGTGTATCCAACCACCCTGTTCATCCAAAGTTGAAATTTCCGGATTATAGAGTCTTCAGATGTAGACCAATCACTAGTGATAGTAATTAACAGTAAGTTTTGAAATAATTGCCAAAACCCCTTTACACTAGATTACTAGTTATTTTAATTAACTTAAATTAACTAAAAATAAGTATATATGTTAGCTACATTTTTGCAAAACATTAATCTATTACTTAATTTCCCTCATAGGGTACATAAAACTTTAACATAGCCTAAACATTACAATGATAATCTTTTCCCTACCCGTGCGCACGTACTTGTTGTAAGATCCATATAGAAATTATATCAAACATTTCGCTATGATGAATTTAATAATTATATTTTAGAGAATAATTATTTTAAATTAATTAGTGTATCATTAAGTTAATTTGTAGTAAAAAGTGTGAAGTAGTTTTGGCAAAGAGTTCTAAATAAACTTTGTGGATTATCATAATTACAATATTTTGAATATTTCATTTTCGCCAAATGATATAACGGGAACCAATGGAGTGCTTAAAATAAAATTTTGAAATATTTTGTAAATAAATGAAATTATGTTATGTTAGGTTAGATTCAAAATAAAACTTTTTAAAACAATCTTATTATATTAATTATTTTTGCTAACTTCCATATTTAATATTATATGCTTTTAATAATACTGATATCAAGGTATTATACCATGGTAATTATATTACTTAAGTTCTAGATTCTTTAATATATTTGTATACTGCCAAATTAATTATTTTACATACATTATAACTCATCTAATTTTATTATATTTACTGTATAAATAATATAAAACTTTTATCATTTTTGAATGTATTGTATAAATTAATAAAAAGTGTATTATTATAAAAACCTACCCGTGCTCGAGTGCCAGTTTAACGAACCCGAACCTATTATTTAACGTCAATCTCATTGTATTGGGAATCGTGTCAAATGACTCGAGAACGCCGCCTACAATCAGTGCCAATACATGTCCTCTACCCGGATGTCTATATTAATATAAAAGTAATTATAGATTATCAAAATGGTATTAGTTATATTCATATCATACGTTAAATACCACTTCATCGAGGTCGTTGTAGCAGCACCATAACCTAAAATTATAAGTATACATATTATGAAATAAAATAGTTTTGTATAAATTATCTAGCAATAAAATTAGATTAAGTTAATCATCACAGAATTTAACATTATTGTTAGCAAATAAATAATTTTAAAAAGCTATTGAGTTGTATACTATTTACTATATAATCAACAATGGTTTTTATCCCATACCCATAGCAAGTAACAGTTCCCTTTTGAATGGGTGCCGAAATAGATCCTCCAGAGTTAGTATATGTGGGGTAAGGCCGGGGAATAGTTGTGAGAAGCCGGTGCCCTCAGTGCCAAAGTTAGCCACATGTGAGCCCACCATTACGCCGTGCGGGTGACACACAAACATGTAGTTCCTCTCGGGATCCAAGTCCTCGGTTTTGACTAATTTGACGGGAAAATAGTTGGCGTAATGTCTCCAAATCGACATATTCCTCACCCAATGGCTTATACGACCGCCTATTGAACACAAATACGTGTTATTATTAAAAGGTTACAATGGTTTCTATAGACACTATTCAACAATGATTATCAAGGTGTCAATATTGACCATACTATTAGTGAAAAAAACATTGATCCCAATACTGATTAATGTTAACTTGTTCACAGTTTTGTCACTAATAGTGTGGCCCGGATTGACATTTTTGTGATTATGTTTGTATAAATGTTAGTTAAATTAAAATTATATTTTGATAATCTTGCATATTTTATGAGATATACTGTGTTAGAGTAGATAGGTTTTGTTAATTTATTTAAAATTTAACCAAGCTGACTATTCTATTATTATATACAGTTACTTTATGTTATATTATACAGTATTAGTAAATACCTTACATGAAAATATACAGTATGTGTGTAAATTATTGATTAAAAATTATATGAATATTTATCTCCAATTATAATAATACTTATATAACTAGCAAGAGCAAATATTAAAAGTCAGATAATAAATAAAATTATATCGTAATTTAATTATAATAGATCATTTAAATTAAATTAATATATACCGTAATTATGGACATTTCTATCGTAATATGACCAGGCATAATATATTACAGGTATGAACGACAACGGTGTAAATAACATAGTGACCAAGGCACTTTTTGTCAAATGATGATTTATATTAAGCAGAAATTCAGAGCTCACGAAAAGTGCGGCCAATGTTTGTAAATGTCTTTCAAATGATTGCAAATGTTGGCCATATTTGTCACCAAAAATAATATCCATTTTTAAGTAAAATTTTAAAAATATAAAGTTATGTGTATTATAAATGTGTGATACAATAATTGGCAGATTTATAGTAATAATAATAGTAAATAGTGTTATATTTTAATTTGTTTTATATCCTTAACAATAGGAAGTTTTTTTTTATAAAAATAATTTTTACAGGAATTACATTTTGACAAATAAAAAACACAAAAACTTATATAATGTGTGTATATTTATATTAATAATTTTTTGTATGTTTATAATGAGACTTTATGATTAATTCCGTATTTTTTATTTTAAATTTTTATTATGAAATTTAAAATAATTAGAAAATTAGCTAAGTAATATAAATATCTTTAACAATAATTATACTAAATATTAATAAAATATATTTAAATATTTTTATTTGCTATCTAAGTTTGCAGCCTATCAGACCTCGAGATATGGGGTCATTTTTTCAGAAACGGAAATTCCCAAAAAATGGTTTTTTGAGTCCCCTTTAGCAAATAAAAATCAATCAAATTTCAATTAAAATAACATTAATAGTCATTTATTTATCAAAATAATTGTATATTGTTATTAATAAAACATTTGTAAAACATTATCAAATATATAAAGCATAGATTAACATACATGGCCTCCTGAGCCCACTAATACCTTTTTGTAATTAATATNAAAGCATAGATTAACATACATGGCCTCCTGAGCCCACTAATACCTTTTTGTAATTAATATATAATTAAGTATCGTTAGTTTGGTCTTTAATATCTTCCGGGAAATATAATTCCTTATGCTCGAGTCACGAAGTATATTTTGATTTAGTTTTTGACAATTTTGGGGGTGGCTCACTGTATGCATCAGGTTTACTTGTGGTAACTGAGGGTTTGATTGTAGTTAGTTTATTTTCTATATAATTACGATGATATATTAAATATTAATGACATTAAATCTAATTTATGCGTTTAAATATAATAAACATATTTATATGAGCATATTAATTAATGCAATTATTACACAAACATTAAATAACCTTGGGTTTTATTTAAACTCATATTTCTATGTTTGTCGACTTTTTATATTACTTTTACAATAAATATTTTTTGAATTGCATATGATTAAACACTTTAATCATATTACTCTAATTTAAATTGACATTTGCCCCTTTGCCACAAAACCATTTTTTGGGAATTTCCATTTCTGGAAAAATGACCCCATATCTCGAGGTCTGCAGCCTATAGTAATTATTAATATAATAGAGTACAAAAATATAATCACATTTTATTTAATGAATTTCAATGTGAATAACCTAAAGGTTGACTATGCTACAATAATTATCAATTAGTTTAATGTAAATGCTAAAATATAGGTACCAAAATCTAAACAAGGTACGGTACGCCCGTACTTTTCTCTATATTATATCCCCATATCTCTCTCTCTCTCTCTCTCTCTCTCAGTGTCAAGGTAAAATAATTGTTATTTAAACTTTGATTATAAGTTTTAATTTCTATTATTAAAATAAATGAGTTTTTTTTGTGTGTGTAAAACGTGAAAAGGAGCCTGTCCAATGGGTACGTTAAGTTGCCTAAGCTGGCAATCGGGATTTTTTGGTTGGATATGAAAGAACATTCAATGCTGAGTCCGAATATATAACTTATATTGTCCTGTGACCTCGGGTTCGACCGCAGTGACCACTTTTTATAGAGAAAAGTTTTTAAGGAAATATTAACATATAATATATTAAATCAATGTAGAATTTAACGTAGAATAAGAATATCTTACTCAAAATAATATAAAACTAATATTTAATAAAATATAGATAG